CACACACACACACACACACACACACACACACACACACACACACACACACACACACACACACACACACACACACACAACCTAAGAATCTGTGTAATTTCCCTGCAGGTAATCTAGCAGGTTTTAAAAACAAACACACGAGTGTCACAAAATAAGAAGCAGAAAACAAAATGAAGGAATATATCTCTGAGATGCAGACTCACACTGACCTGCCACACATACACACACACACACACACACACACACACACACCTAAATAAGAACACACAGGTATGCAGAGCTGCAGCTACCTACTGTCAGTCTGAGGTAAACCTTCGTCTCTTCAGTCCCACACTCTTCCTCTCCGATATGTGGATCTAATGACACAACAGTATAGTATCTCCCTGTGTGTGTGTGTGTGTGTGTGTGTGTTTTCTGCCTCCCTCTTCCTCTGCAGTGCAGTCCCACCCCCTCCCCTCGCTGCTGCACAGCGACTGGAAAAAACCTGGATCCTGAACCCACGAAAAGGCCTGGATCAGGACTCCTCAGTCTGAAGCCAAAACGCGTGGTGGAGGGCAGCAATGATGTCATTCGTTCACACACACACACACACACACACACTCAAACACACACACGCCAACACACACACACACAAAATCCATGAGCAGATCTGTCAGATTACAGCAGCAATAAGAAAAGGCAATCAGACAGAATGTTTGGACACCGGCCTGATGTCGAGCAGATTTATCGTCCCTTTGATCAGAGTCAGGATGTCAGGCGCTGAATGCAAAGGTCAAAGTGACGAGCTGCTTCAGGAGGCAGAAAACTGATCGATTTAATCACAACATGTAGAAAAATGTTCAGAGACGTCCAGCCTTACTGTGGCTCAGTTTAAATCTAATCTTCAGGCTCCTGTTAAAGTCGTCACGACCACCTACCACGTTTTTAATTTTCTATTATCAATATCATTTTTTAATTGTCTTGTTCTTTAGTCATTAATCTGTGACAAATATTAGATCAGGCATTTTGACAACCTGGACGAGTTAGATTGTGTTAGTTTGAGATTAACATTAGAACAGGGGCCTCCCCTAGGGGGAGCCAGTGGTCTCAGAGGTGGGTCATGACATGAATCAGGAAGTGGGGAAATAACACTGCAGGTCTTAGATCAGATTTTTAGTTCAGGTGTTGTTTTGGTTGTGTATCGCATCATTAAAACGTGACCTCCTTCAGACCTCAGTGTGAACCGTAGTAGCTCAGAGGCGACCAGCACAGGAAGTGACATCATACGCAGCGGGTGTTGTTTGAGGAAGTAGCCACACATTTTATCTTGTTTTTGCAAATTTTGCACCTTTTGTTTTCTTTTTTAATTTTTTCTTTTTTTTCTCTCCTCGAGTGCATTAATATTTGAAATTGTATATTGTTGTTTTATAAATAAAGTTTATTAAAAAAAGTAGCCACACATGCTACATTTGTTAGTTTGTGTGATTCTGACGTTCTTGTGCGATCACAAGCGATTAAAAATATTTTCTGACCTGCTTGTTAGGTCCAGCTTTCACATTAAATCAGAGTTGTAAAGTACAAATACTTTGTTACTGTACTTAAGTAGACATTTTGGCTATCTGTACTTGAGTAATTTTCAGCTTCCTTTTTTTTTTACATCTATTTCTTACATTTTTAAACAAGTTAAGAAGTATAAAGTCATTTCTCCTCTTTCATTTCGGCTCTTTATTRTTAAAATATTATCCTGATAAATTGTGCCTCCTGGAATGAGTGAATTTAATTATAGTTGGATGAGAAGTATAAATATATACCATTCTGACACCAAGTGCACAAACCATCACAGCTGCACGCCTTTAGAAAAATATATCTTTTGGAAAGTTCACCTCCTGATAAATGTCATTTTAGAAAACCTAACCGCTCATTTTTGCTCAATACTTTTACTTGTAATACTTAAGTACATTTTATGTCAGAAATTTACTTTTGATACTTAAGTGCAAAAAAAAAATCAGATACTTTAAGACTTTTACTCAAGCAATATCCTTCGAGGAGACCTTAACTTGTAGCAAAGTAATTTCACAATAAGATAGTTGTACTTTTACTCAAGTATCACTTTGAGGTACTTTATACAACACTGCATTTAATCTGGCCTCTCAATAGTTCCCCGGCGCAGCTTTTTATTTTTGTAGTGGAGCTTTGAACAGAAAGTATCGATTCCAACTCGTTAGCATCGACACGGTCCAGCGCTAATTTAGCATCATGTGTTGCTGTAAATTTTCAGTCATTCAGGGACAAGCAGTGGTGGAGAAAGTACTCAAACACTGTACTTAAGTAAAAGTACAAATAAACAGACAAAAATGTACTCTAGTAAAAGTACCACATCAACATTTTTATTTGAGTAAAAGTAAGTAAGTACATGCTTTTAAAAATACTTATGTATTAAAAGTCAAAACACTTGCTTAATGTAACCCCTAACGGTCTACAACATCATGAAGTGTGTCTGTGTGTATTTTAAATACATCAATGGTGTGTGATTTTAGTGAACAATGCTGCAGATTGTGTTTACTGGGTCTCACCAGACACACAGAGAGAGAGAGAGAGAGAGAGAGAGGGAGAGAGAGGGAGAGAGAGAGAGAGAGAGGGAGAGAGAGAGAGAGAGATAAACATGCAAAATTCATTTAAGATTTCAAAATGCACCAATATATCGGACTGTCTTCATG